TTTTTACTAGTTGATTAGGATTTGTTCTAGAGGCTAAATTTGTGTCTTTGCATGACTTAGGACCTACATAGAAGTCTCTCTTTTTTTTTTTAAATCAGCCAAATTCTAATCAGTTGAGTTAATAGGTCTTATGTGTTTCTTGTTACATATTTGTTCTCTACTTGTTGCCTGTCTCACCCTATTCATTGCATTCAGGGAATTTAAATCTATGCTATGAAAAAAGTGACACTATTAATTCTTAAGCCTAGTTTGGGTTTCTGATGTTGAAATATGCTCTGTTCATGAGATACAAGCTTGCATCATTTAGTGTGTGTGTGTGTGTGTGTATGTATATATGTATGTATCTAAACACACACACACACTCAGAGTTTTATATATACTTTTCTCATTTTTGTATTCACAAAATGAGAAAACTATATTTCCTAGGAATAAAGGTACTCCTAGACTAAATTGCCTCATTGACTTTAGGTTCATCTTCAAGCGTTTCTAATAATTAAAAAAAACACAAAAAAGATGGTTGCCATAGATTGCTTATTAAAAACCAAATTAAAGCAATAGTCTCAAGGAGTCAGTGTGATTGTTATAAAATCAGTTTTTGATTTTTTTTTTTTTCTGATGAGATTTAGTAACTGGAATCCAGGAATGTTTTTTGGCTTTTAAGATTTAATCATTGTATATTAATAAATATCTTGAAGTTGAATATAAATGACTCATTCATTATTTTATCTCTAAAAAGAAAAATGCCTTTTATAGGGTCAGGATAATAATATTGATTTTAATTGTCCCTCCTTTGTTTATTTATAGGACTGATTGTGTAGAAAAAAAAGACAGCCCTGAAGTATATTTTTGTTGCTGTGAGGGCAATATGTGTAATGAAAAATTTTTTTATTTTCCGGAGATGGAAGTCACACAGCGTAAGTTCACAGGGAAAAAAACATAGGTTTGTTCATCTAATAGATTGAAAACAAAGTATATTTGTGCTGATGGAATAATTTATTTCTACCTCCTCATATTCTATTCTTTTCCAAAAATTTGACACTACAATAAATATTTTTTATAGAATTTTGTAGACCAAATCTGAGTTATTTTTCCCCCTCTTTTCCACAGCCACTTCAAATCCAGTTACACCTAAGCCACCCTATTACAACATCCTGCTCTATTCCTTGGTGCCACTTATGTTAATTGCGGGGATTGTCATTTGTGCGTTTTGGGTGTACAGGCATCACAAGATGGCCTACCCTCCTGTGCTTGTTCCAACTCAAGTAAGTTATTGTCCTGTACTTTGTACTATTTTAAATTTTATATTTTGAGACATATTACTGTGGCAAAACCCACTAGCTTGTTATATGTTTCCTTTGGAGTTAACTTTTGAGAGTTTATTGTCATGGGAACTACAGCTGCTTTTGCAAACTTACTAATTTGCTATGTCTTAAACTTTTCTCAATTAAGGGTTAAGGTAGAGTAGAATGTAGAGATATTCCCATTCCTATTCTTTGGAAAGTTTTACTGTCATTCTAATACTTTTAAGTATTACCTGCTTTGCTTCTTAAGAAGTAATTAATGATGGAGAAGAATTGATGTCATAACCCTTCCATCCTCTCCTCTCTTCCTAAATTTCTGCACCTTTCTCAAGATTACTTGTCAAAACATCCTTTAAACCATGGGAATGGACCTAAGAAAGTAATCAAGAAAGTAGGGAAAGAGAGGATTTCACAAAGGCTTCAGAGAAAGATATATCCATAAAAATGTTTTAGGGAAGAGAAGCAGAAGAGCAGCCTTTTTTTCCCATGTGTTCTTGGTACATCAAGCATATTTTTTTGTTTGCAGCATATCAAGTATGTATTGAAGACAGAAAACTTTTTTAAAGCTCTTGATTCACATTCACGCCATCCCAAATATTTCTGAAATATAGGTATGGACGGTAATCAGATGAAATTCATTAACTTTTCCTCATTTTCCGTCACGTAGACACTTGCCGCTGGTCTCGTGCCGTACAAGAGGACTTTTCGTGGAAGTAGTTAATATTCAACAGGCCTAGGAAAACTGATAACTTTTGGTTATACTTGCTTGGCACATCACCAAGTTCTAGTTTTTACTGTGTTATAACTCTGAAGATCAGATTACCTCAGCCTTCTGGATCTCTTGGTTTAACTTTGTCTTTCTAATACTAGTAGGATTAATGGCTAAAACTTGATTGAAGAAAATGGTAAAGTTCTATAATTTAATGACCAAAACAACTCCTTCCCTCTGTGCTTTATTTACATAAAACATTTCTTTCTCAGTACTTGAAGCAGTCTGTTAGCCTTAGATCATTGATTCCCATAATCTTTGTAAAATAATGTATGTGGAGAAATAAACCCAAAGGTAAAATAACCATGTTTAATAATTAGGTAAACACACTATTTTCTCTAACTTAAATATTTTAACTTATAAACATTAGTAACTAAGTTTGGGTTCATTAAAATCATTTGTAAAATAAAAAATTTTAGTGCCTAATATATGTAA